GTTTCATTTCAGTTAGGGGCAATTTTCCTGAGCTGCATGACTGTGAGCGTGGGGTCAGCAGGAGCGGAGTACATTACAGGCTTCAAACAATTTAATGTGAACTGCTAAGAGCAACACTTATTTCAAAGAATTTGATACCAGGCTTTTCTCTTCCATTCTTGCATTACCGGGGGGTATTTAAAAACTCAGGCAGTAACTATTCAGCATTTGAAATATAAAGGCTATCAAAAAGATTTGCAAAGTCAATGAAACTTGGTGCCTATCAGCTTTTTGTGTAGTTTGTGTCTAAACTGCCCCAGACTTCGTGGCTATTAGTGTCCCTGCTGAGACCTGAGCTACCCCTGCAGTACTGATAACAACTTAGGCATATATACCAAAAATGCACCCATCCACCTACTTCTGCAGCAACATTAACCTCTCGGTGTCTGAATGTGTGTGCAAAATCTCTTCTCTACAAGGTGACAATGTGTCCTTCATTTTTGGGGTGGGGTGGGGTGGGGGTGGATTTCATTGGCAAGGCCCCAGGGAGCAGAGAGTTAACAGCTCCCGGTACCCAGGGACAGCTGCAAAGCCTCACCGCAGTCTCCAGTGAATGTCAGGACAACAGGAACCACCTTCTGCCAGTTCAAAAATGGAAGCCATTAATAATGTAAACAGGTGTATTGGGAAAGGATTACTAAACAGAGAGCAAAGGCAGCTGCGCACCCACGGCGGGCTTACCATGCTGTGCTCTCCTCCATTAACGTGCCTCCAGCCCAGCTGAAAGCTTTGCTGGGCTCGGACAGTTGTGGGCATTCATATTTTTTTTTCTCAGCTATTATTACAACCTTCCAGGTAAACTTATTTCTCCTGCCAAGGTTAAGGGGACAGAAGCTGCTGAGGCAACACTAAGAGGCTTTGGAAAGTGCAGGAGGCACTGCCACACGAGTCCTTTAGCCCATTAGTGATTCAGCTGTAGCTGGGGAAGGCTGGCTGTGCTCTCTCTTTGTCATTTTGGTATTAATCAGCAGTACTTACTGATGCGATCCAAACCCTCGCAGTTTCTGTACCTGTGAGGGGCCCGTTGCCCTTCGCAGCAGCTGCCGGGATTCACTGCCTGCAGCCTGATGAACTCGAGTTTGCAGGGAGCTTAGGGAAGAAGGATGGATACGAGCGTTCAGAGCAAGGACTACGGACTCCCGGCCATTCCCTGCTGCCCACAGGTCCCCAGGCACCATCTCTGGACAGAAGCTCCCTTCTGGAAAGCGAGCCGGTGGCTTCAGGCTCCAATAGAGAGGTGGAACACATACCTTAAGGATATAGCTTCCCCTCCTCCTGGGCCACGCTCTGCCCAGGAGATGGATGCAGTTAGCTTTTCTGTTCAGAGCCAGGAGCCCTGCCCCCAAACCGCACTGTTTTCTGCTTTTCATTGAGACAGGCATGACCCCAGGGAACAGAGTTGGACACCAGGGGTCTGCTCATCAGGAGAGGACTAAGCAGGGACCTCAGGCTCCATGGCAATGGTGACTGTTTTTCCTTACGGTCGAAGAAGCCAAAGACTAGCAATTTTTTTGGCTTTGCTTCCTTAATGAAGTGTACAAGTTGATGGGGGGGATAGCTCTGCAGGGAACAAAAGTGGGAAGATTACAACCACCACTGCATCCCCTTGGTGTTTCCTCCCTGGCTCTTGCTGAGTTCCTAGAATAATGCTGGAGATTCTTGGTCCACACAGCTGCCCTCTTCGGTGCTGAGAGCTAATCCAACCAGTTAATTAAAGAGTCCATTGGACTGTCAGAAACAGCGGGAGATGCAGAAGCAATTATCTCCAAATTGGTCATCATCACAATTAAAGTACCATTTGGCAAGTATGTGAATAGCCTGCAGCAGGGTCCCTTTATAGGTGGTAATGCCTTTTCATTATTGGGCTTTATTGCCGGGTGGTGGTGTTTATGATCCCAGTAAAGCTGTCAGGTGAAACGACAGTAACACTTGCCCCCAGTTCTGGGAGGAGTCGGATGCAGAGGGCAGAGGCAGCCTGCGATGCTACTTGTAATTGAGCCTGGTACCTTAACATGCCAGTGTATACAAATCCCATCTAAGGAACTCATTAAGGCAGGGAAGCTGAGCAACTCATTTGCTGTAGATAACTCATTTAATGCTTTTAAACCTTTTTTAATTTTTTTCCTGCTCATATATTATGGCTTCCTCAGAAACATTCATTACTCGAACCTACTTGACAAATTTCTCTTGAAACATTCAGCCCGCACGTGCGGGGTCCGAGTGTTGTTTTCTGCTTGCGGTCGGTGGGATAAAACCCGCGGTGCTTGGTGTCTCCCTGGGTGAGGGCTGAGGCACATTAGGTTTGCGTTTGTGTAGGTGAGGTAAAATGACTTTCAGCTGCAGCTGTGCTTTCTCTCTGAAACTCGCTTCCCATAGATACTGATGCCTGAAAAATTAACCATGTTTTCAGAGCGCAGATCAGTTAAGACAAGGTGGTGTGAAAACAGGAGAGCTGTTATAATCCTGTCTGTTATCCAACACTAAATCAGTGCCATGTAACTGGCAGGTGGCTTTGAACTTTCATTTGAAGGGAGAAACTACAGTATGTGAAACAACCCTGGTACCACAAAAGCCCGCCAGCGGAGGACTCCTTTAACAGTTTCCTGGAGATGTTGGTAAGATTTTTAGGAATGATGTGCCAGTACCCGAGTGAGCCATCACCCCCGCAGCACAGCTTTCACTCCTGCATACAAATGCCCTTTCCTCCTCTCCTACCCGTCCTCTTTCCCCACAGGGTAAACAGCTGGAAGTGTTGAGCTCACTGCCAGAGGCTTCAGACAGACAGTTTGTGCCACAGGAGATCCCGGGACATCGTAATGACTTCTCTTTAGCTTAAACGCGTCTTTGTAACAAACGGCACCACCTGCTAAATTGCTGATCTTGCACAACAGTTTTCTGACTACTGCAGAAGAAGAAGAAAGGTTTGGCTCTTTGGATATCCTGTATGAAGTCGGCTTTCAGTGCCTGTCTGTTGTGCCCCTGAGCAAGTCCTGAGTTTCTCTGAACTATGTCTGCTTTCTTCAGAGCGGGGGTCTCCTGGCTCTCGTCCTCTGTATCGCCATCTGTACCAGAGACTTTGCCATGCCAGAGGTCTCTTTGGTGGATTGCCTCACACATTGTGCCGTGTCCGACTTAGTATATAAAATTAAAATTATGTTATGACTTGTATGCTTCATGGTCGTCTAATCGGAGTGTCTGTTTAGTGTTAGATGCAAAGTGTCTTTTATTGTTTCTTACATCAAGTCTGTATCTTGTTGGTGGAACTAGCACATTTTTTGAAATTTATGATCATTATTTAAAGTGACGGAGTACTAAGGGAGTATATTCAATGGATATATCTGCACATACAGTGACCTGTATTAAGGCAATTAAGCCTGCCCATGTTGAAAAACAGCATCTAATACATTAGAGGGTAAATTCCTCCAGGAATATTCACCAGGGCAAATTCAGACAGGCAGGACAGTTTATACCCTGGCTTTCATTTTCAAGTCCATGGCTGATCTACTGGAACTAATGAACACATCATTTGTAGGATGTTCATCAACTTCAGACGCCATTTCAGAGGCATTGTAAACACCTTAATTAGGAGCCTAAGTCCTAAGAATTCTCACTGGAGAAAGAGATGCATCCAGATTAATAATGCCAGGTAAATTGATGTCATCGTATCAGTTTTTGAATATGTAGACAACGAGGAGTTCCTGACCTTTTTTCTAATGATTATTCAAACAAATCCTGAGGCTGATGCTACTTCTTTCCCCTCTGCTAACAGCAGGAGAACTGATATATTCTTCTATTTTCTTAGGCTTTTTTCTTTTTTTTTTAACCATTATTGGGATGCAGATGTTTTAGGTATGTCTTAGATGTTTGTTACTAAGACAAATAATATATCTGTATCTCTAAATACTCAGGAGAAGAAAGTCTTAACAGAGACCTGATTTCCCTGATATGCATTTGGACTAGGGAAAAATATGTTTTTACAGCTATTTTTGCAGATTCCTACTTCTGGACCTCCTCAAAGGATGGTTCAGCTTTAGTTTAAATGAAATGGACTGCCAAGACAAGATACCTGACTTGCTCTGTACCCTTCAGGGGGTTTGCAAGCAAGAATGATTAGATGTGAAATTCTAGAAAGACGTGCTAAATCATTTTTACTCCAGTTAGCCAACATTTTTGCTATCAACTCAGATCTGCTTATTCTTCCTAAGCTTTGCACACCACTTAGGGAAAAGGGCTGTGTGTCATTAGCAAACTAAATCAACAGTTCTGTTCAGAGAGCCATGTTGGGATGAGCAGCAGGAAAGAGGCTGGTAGATGAGGCACAGGGTAAGAGACAGTGTGGAATTCCTTACAACTGAATTATCCTTTTCTACATCTGGCCCAAAGCCTGGAAAAGTATCAGAAAGGGGTATATATATGACATGATACCTCCAAAGGACATGAACCTGAACAGCACTGGTTTGATAAGACATACTAGAATTGGCATTAAATTCAACTTTGCAATAGACAGAGACTACTTTCTTTTGTAAGTGGAAATGCCCTGTAATGTTGGTTTCATCTTAAACAGCATTCACTTCCCAAGCTAGTCTCAATTGATTCTTTAAATGCTTGCATTGAAGACATTAACTGAAGTGCCTTCAGCTTGGTCCACCCACAGATGATCAGTGTTTCTTAGTTCTTTGGTCTGTTTCCTCTCATTACTAGCTGCGCCTTAGATACATGAAACCAACGGGTTCTTGGTTTTCATGGATTGCCTTGACTGCATCAAACTGAAGATTTGGTTTCCTGTCACGGACCAAAGTAGGGATTCACATTTGCTTAACATGGGATCTGGGTATTTGGAAGATGTACTGTCTTGAAGGTGTACTGTCTTAAAAATGTACTTCGGGGTTTTCAAGAACTCATTTTACAAAGCTTGTCCTTTTAACTAGCACTAAAAAATCTTTATGTTTTTCCACTCCCAGGTACACTGTTTTACGTAATGGACATCATCAGGAACATGAGAAGCTTCCCATCCACAATGACCCTGAATCCCAGGAGTCCTGTTTCTAGTCACGGTCCTAGAAGAGGAACGGCCCAGCTGAAGGAACAGATTCCTTTTAGGATACCCAAAGGATTCACGGACAGCAGGACTTTATGAAAATTTATTCATCTGCATTGTCATGGTGCCTCTTGCACTGACTTCATGTGAATGTCCAGCTGCCCATCTGTAGATCAATGGGGGCATGGGATGGTACATGAGCAGAACAGCTGAGGAGACTTTCCTGTATCTGCAAGGGCAGCTGGACTATATGACTTTGTCAGAGCCTTACTCCAGGAGTGAGCTGATTTCTGTCAATGTCAGGAAACAACACAGATACAAACCACCCAGTGCAGGGACTTCTGACATTCCTTTCCAGCTGCCATCTGTGTACAAGCCACCTCTCTGTCCTGTGATACCGTGACCTTAAAGATTACAAGTTCTGGCTAACACCCTAACATGATGTGAGACTAAATGCCTGCTTTATCTGCGCAAGATCCTGCCTGCCAGTGAACGGATGCTGTCAGGAGAGAAACAGCACTATGTTTTCTTCAGCAAAATAAGAGGAAATGTTTGCCTTTTGATTACAGTTACTGGTGAAAGGTCAGCATGAGCTGCTGATACACCCTACCCTGCAGAGCTTTCTTTGTAAATGTTTTTATTGTGTTTCCTGGCCAAGCTCATTGGTAGAAGACTCATAGGGTACATATAGTGCCTGACAAGCTGGAGTAGGACCTACAGAGACATTTCACTGCTACCAGATGTCCCTGCAAGCGCTGCTTCAATCCAGCCCAATTGCTAAAAGACAGTGACCATCCTCTGCCATTCAGAGGCCAATGGACAGGATGTGGCCCTCAAGCCCCAGGCAAGCTGCCAGCACTGTCCTCATCTGAGCAAACTTTGGGCATTCTTACCAAGAAGAAAGGTTGGCCAAGAGACAGAGTCAGTCTGTAATAGATCACTAAGTGCCATCTTGAAAAATATACCATCTAAAAACCTTTTCTAGCTACATTAGGAAGACGGAGTTCTACTTACATTTTCCATCTTTATTTTTCTATTTGTCTCTGTTCTCTTCCAGTTGAGGCAAGAAGTTTCAAGACTTTCAAATATCACCATATGCACATCTCTGTTTGCGATGATCTCAGTCCTTAGCTGCTTCCTGCATGTAGATGTTGCTGTGTTCCTTGTGAGCTGCTTCCACCTTTGCATGGAAAGGGTAGGCAAGGCTGTAGACATCACAACGTTGGGAAAATTATTTTCATGCAGTGGGACATATGCAGGATCAAGACTACAAGCCTCCACCCTTTTTAGATGAAGATCTAACCCAGAGATGCCACCCTGAGCCTAGAAAATAAAATTGTACTTTGTTATATTGTGTATTCATGTACAGATATTTTTAATGTAAAAAGAAAAGGTGACATTATTTATTATTTTTTATCAGGAACATGTGGTTTTTTTCATTAAAAGCTTCTAGAGCCAGGAGCTTAACATTATATGTATTATTATTTAGTAATATTTCTGTTGCTATGTGACAGGTATTTACTGTAAACAAACAAACAAATCCTGCTTTGAACAAACAAAAATGTTGCTCAGTAGGAAAAAAAAATTGTGCATGATAAGAACAACTGGCTTCCTTGCCATGGTGTCAGACATCTTTAAATACTTCTTCCACATAAAATCACTGATAAAGCTTCACATCATTTTCCTTTAGGATTCAAAAGGATACTGGGCAGAAACAGCCCTAATTAGAAGAAGCCAGACACTTATGAATGTAGAAAATTGCTAGCAGTTAGAAAGAGACAAACTATTGGTGTTTGTGGTGATAGGTGCTGATGGGAAGAACATGAGCTATTTGAAAAGAGAAGGTGAGACAGTTTGAGCCAATTCCCGGTTCATCATTAGGAACAGTTCAGCAATGACCTGTTACTACAGGGTTGTGTTTCCAAAAGACCTCATTATCAGTTCAACTCTATTGTTAACAACAAAACAGAGCAGTAGGTGAAAAAAATAGGCCATTATTGAAAGCTTTTGAAAAAATCCATCCAGGGCCGCTTCAATCCTATGATCTACACCTCTGGGAACGGCTTGCGTGGGTTTTTGTCTGCATTTGGGTATGCAAGACTGCAACCAAGTCTTGGTTTCACTTCAAGTATCAAATTTCTTAAAGAAATCCTAGGAAAGCTTTGCTCGGTCCCCATTAAAAGGCATCAAAATATTGGTGTGAAATTGGACTGATATGGAACCAGCAGCATGGGGATGTTACAGTGATGGTGTTCTTTGTTTCCGCTGTTGTCCCTGAAGTGTTGTTTTCTCCTATATTTTTATGTGCTTTAGTAATATATCTCTTCTTAATTTAAAATTAACTTCTCAACACTGAATTTTACTCATGGGCAATGTTCAGAAGGCTCTATCAATGGGATCAGTAGCTCACTAGCCAAAATGGTCAACAGGTCTGACTGGAGAAAAGGCTCCAATTCCAAACACTGTATTTGAATGAAATACCAAACACGAATGTGCACGTTCTGTGTCATCTCCGGCTAATTACTCATTGGACTCAGTAGACCTGTCATGAACCACCTGGCAGCTCCTTCTTAGTAAGTCAATTATCTCAGCAATGCTTCTGTGAACCCAGCAGATGACATTGTCCATCATCAATAATGTTAGAACTTCTATGGAAAAGAAGCTGTCTGATGGAAAGGACCCATGCTTGATTTCCTTTGCTAAAGGGAGCTGCTCCTGTAGCCTCTGAGTTCATCATCCTGTTGACCATTTTGGCTAGCACTGTCAGAGTCTTCACCTGTGTTGAATAATGTGTAATGCATTGGCTGTTTCTAAAAATAAAAAATCCTCTATGTACCTTGCAGTAAACTCCAGCTCATGCTTATTTCTTGTACTGTTTTTACTCAAAATGTAAGATGCTACCAAGTAATACTTTCCACCTGCCTTGCAATATACTCAAACAGCTATAACAACACGGGAGATTCCCTTACCTGTGCTGTGTCCACCTCATCTCTCACTATCCACACTGAGAGATGTTACCGCTATGGGCATCACGCTCAAGACAGGCATTTGCAAATGAGGAGTCAGGTATAATTTTGTGCATCTCTGTTTTTCTGATTTTCCCAGTGAATTTGACTGAAAAAGTGTGCTCCTTTCTTCCTGCCTCTCCATCTCCTTCCCACTATCTCTCACAGATTCACTCAAATAACCATATATTTATTCCTTCACGTAAATATACTAGTACTCATCAGCAAACTATCACACCACCACATTTATGGTCTGGGAACATTTTACAGTTTTTTGAATGCAGTAAGCCACAGAAGTGTTAAGCATGATGCCTGCTGTAGCTGTTTTCTTGGATTACAACTGATTTCACTTTTCCTTGCCAGAGATAATGTGCTAGCAGAACAGATAGCTAATAAGAAGTTGGCTGGCTGGGCCTTTGCTAAACCATCTTCAGGAGGCTGATCTGCCAACACAGTTGTATTTCCATATTTCTGTATTTTTCTAGGCTCCAGAAGCATTTCTGAGATCTTGGATGACATTTGTTAGCAGAGCATGGGCCCAGACAAGCAAATCCAAAGATGCATTGAGGTCACTTGTGCTGAAAGATGGAAGCAGAGTAACTGCTGACTACTTCCAGGGGCAGATTGAAAACCTAGCCTAACGCTAAAGCTGTGGGCCATCTGACTTTAAGTGGGCCCCAGACAGTGTCGGGGTGCACAACACCACGAGGTGAGCCATCCTTTCTATTGAGCAGCTTTCCATGTCTCTGATACTCAGTATACTCAGATAGAAGCCAACTCACAGTGGTGCTGCAAAGTAAAATTCAGAAACATAATGAACACGTCACAAACGGGAAGCTGTGTTCACAAAACAGAAGCTGCAAGGAAGAGTGCAGAAGAGGCCATACACTTTAATTAGCTGATGATCTAGCAAAATTTGGACATGGTGCCTGCAGTATGATATAGGAACATGTAATAAATTTTGACAGCCTAAGCTCAAGGATGCTGTAAAGAGATGCTGTACATAACGCGCTTCTACATGTGTATCTCCAACACCATCTGTCCTAATTGCCAATGGCAGCCAGAAGGGAAAGAAGAAATTATAACTGCCTATTTCTTCTCCCTCCAGACAGTAGAAGGAACAAGTCCTTCCACAAAGAGAATGAGTACCTGACTGGCTAAAAAAAGGAAGAGGGAAAGATCCCATCTACACCCAGATCACACCTTTCTGCCACGCAAACTTGTACAGCTCCTAATGGGGAGGATTCCCTGATCAGAGCAGAATTTTGTGTAAAGAAACCTTGAAAAGCAAGAACTAAGCACAGGAGCACCATGCTAAACTAGGTGGTACAAACAGCCACCTGGATGCTCAGTTCATAACCTCATTTGTCCCTCCCAAAATACTCCAACATTTAAGAAAGTCTCAGAGTACCAAAATAATCACACGCAATAATGCAGTACATACTCAGGAAAAGTAAATGGAAAAGAAATCTTAAATAGCCAAAAGGTTACCAGAAAACCTAATTTTTAAAGGTTAAAACATGGTTTCCATATGATCAAAGAACTTATTTTTTTAATATTATATAAACAGTTCATAAGAGGCTTCTGTTCTTATCAAAATTGTTTGGGTCAAAGCTAACCCATTGTGTTAGTCACAACACAGTGAACCCCTATGAAGCTCATACGACGCATTTCTTTGCAATCCACTAAAGTATTAAGACTACAGTGATCCCATGATACTAGTGGCAAAAAAACCTCCCTGCAATTTACAGTTTATACAAGCCTTCTATTATCATTCAGTTACATAAATGCCACTGTTAAAGCAGGGGAAAAGGTACTTTGCATTCCCATCCATTACTTACCAATTTTCTGCCAAGGAAATAAACTTACAGACATCGAACATTTAAAATTGACACATACAGGCCACGAATATAAAAAACATAGAAAATGTTTGGATTTCAAGCATTCATAGCACACTCCTGAACACTAGAAAGATTAAAAGGAGATGAAGTTGCCTTTGCTAAATA